CTGGAGGGGTTCAAAACCCGTGTGGACATGGCACTGGGGGACTTGGTTCAGTGCTCATGGGAGTGTTGGGTTAACAGTTGGGCTTGATGACCTTAGAGGTCTCTTCCAGTCTTAATGACTCAATGATTCTACCTCCTGTGACTCAGTCTGTGCAGAACAAGCCCTTGGGACACTCTCAAACCCAGAGGACAGAAGAACACACTCTCAGGACCCCACTGTTAATCCTGGGAAGGAATTAACACCTCCCAGCACAATTAAGCAGGGAAAGCAGCATCCCCAGGGACTCCTCAGCCACTGCCAGCACAGTGTTCTGCTCAAGGGTTCCCTTAATTAGCACTAAATACCACTGATTGTCCTATTTAGGAGTATATTTATATAGGACTATATTTTATAGGATGAAATACATAATTAGGATTACAGTTTACTTTATAAGAAGCCATTTTCTGAAATACCCTGTCAATGTCAATTCTCAGGTTGCAAAACTACACAAAACAGGCACTGACCCCCAGGACAAGCCCCAGAGTCCTGATCTGAACCATAACCCTGGCCCAAGCCTGGAATAAACCCTCATCACCTCACAATTAGGTGTTACAAACATTTTCTTTCCAAACCCACTGGTTGGGAAGCCCTTCAGAAGGCTCCTCAATAACTCTTTGGACCCCTTCATCCTGCATCCTACCCATCAAACACCACACACCAAAACAGCAAAAATTGCAATAAAGGGTATTCCCAGCTCTACATCAAGGACAAAATCTCACCAATTAGCCTTACTTTTTCACATCCTAACCCTCATTTTAACAGTAACTGCAGCTTGTAAGGAAGCCACCAAAACAGAGCTAAATCCCTGTCCTGGTGACCTCATCACAGCATCCTTGAACTTATCTCCAGCTTGACACAAAATTAAGTGCAAGACACTCACACCTACCAACAGCTGACCTCTGAATTCCTCTAAACTCCTCACTGAATTGTTTACTAGAAAAAAAAAGAGGGCATCAGCAACCTTGGGGCTGTGCAACCTTACAGCCCCAAAATCTACTGACTGTCCCTTTAGGGATTTTTCCTCACATCTCTAGGCACTGACCACAGTTAAAATGGACCAGTATCAGAGCCAGGTTCTTTTGCTGGAAACCAGAGTTAGGAACTTCCAAAGTGGGAAGTTCTTGAACAAAATGTAGAAGCTGAAGGGTCTGAAAGGCCCTTTGTTATTGCTTGGGCAGCCTCCCACCACGATCCAGTCTGGATGGGACTGCAGGTACTGGCTTTCCAGTTACACTGGGCTGCCTAAGGTGGCTCCAAAAAGAAAGCCAGAAACAAGCCCCAAACCCTTCTCCCCTAAGGATGGGGACACAGAATAGCAAACTGCACAGCCTAGTTAAAATCACAGAAAGAGCAACAGACACCTCCAGTCAGGGAAAGATCTCCTTGACTACACTTCAAACAGTACTTAAAATTCAGCTGTAAATACTGCCCTGAAAAAATTCATCTGTAAATACTGCCTTGAAAATATTCAGCTGTATATAATGCCAACACACCTTCCTGTACCTGACTGCAGCTCCAGCAGCTCCACTCACAGTGAAGCTCTTCTTGGTAAAGCATCTGCAGACAAAGGTGACTTCTTGAAAGACTCCACTGAACACGGAATGTCTTCCAAGATAGTGACTAATTCAAATGTATTAAAGCTTGAACCCTTTTCAGCTTATACCTGGTGGTTTCTCATGCAAGCAGCAGAAGCTGAAGGACTCCAGCACAGATCTGGAAAGGGAGAGCAAGTCCCCAAGCCCATGGCACTGCAGGGCAGGGTGGGTTAGATGTGTGACCTCCTCTGACAGGTAAACACTAAACGGATGTTTTACGCTCAACAGCCCTTAATTAAAACAGTCATTTCAATTCATTTGCACATAACTAGTGCACATAACTATTTGCACTTAGACAGGAGTGAGAGATAAACTGGTCTGTTATCACTAGCTGTTTGCAGAAGAGCCTTTCCCACTTGCTACATTTCCAGCACAATATTTATCCCAGCTCAGAGCCTGATAACTTATCTAACAGGAATTCCAGTTCCTCAGTTTGGCTGAGGTCTGCCAGGCAAGAGAAAGTATTCACTGGTGAAAACAAAAAAATATCAATGTTTAATTAGTAAAATCAAGATCTAAGACTTAAAACCAGCATCAAGATTTTATTCTGGAGCGAGCAGGACTGTGCTGTGCTGCTCTGAGAAAGGTCAGAGGGGAGGACATGGGACGACTTCAGCTGCACAAGGAAACACAACATGGTGGCACCATCTTTTCTCATACCAAGTGGTGACAAGGACCTTGAGGCAAAAGCCTGAGGAAAGGCCAGAGACTGATGTCTCAGGATCACAACAGTGAGCTCTGGCAGACAGCAACAAACCAAAGCTCCCAGTAACAGAATGAAAACCTTTCCAGAGAGTGGAAAATCTCCTTGACTGAATCTTAATAACCACCAAACTGGTAAGCAAAGAAACGTTTCTTTTTCTGCCCCAATCCTCCCCTTTGCTGAGGAGGATCAGAGAGCAGGCACCAAGTCCCCCCTGACAGGCACCCCACGTACCGATTTTGGGATGAGATGTTGGCAGGGCAGCCTCAGGAAAAGGTGAAATCTGGCAGTTGTCCTGGTAGCTGGGGTAGTGGGGCTCTGGGTGACTGACCCGGCACGGCTGCTGGACGTTGGCATCCTGAACTGCACAACAGCAATGGCATTAGGAGTCACCCCAGCCATCAGGCAGCCCCCACGCCTCTTCCACCCCAGTTTCCTTCCTTTTAGACAAGCTCCCACAGTCTGTGATCAGCCCAGGGTTGGGAATGAGGAACAACAGGGTGATCTTACACAGTTAGCAAGACAGGCGACCTCGTGCTGATTCCACAGCTCTGCCAGTCACTGCTAAGGCAGAGGCTCCTGCTGGCCTCCCTCCCACAGTTACAACCACCAGAGGCTCCAGAGGATGCCTCTTGGAGCAGGACAGTTCCCTCAGCAGAGCTCACAGCCCTGTGAAGGAACCAAACTGAAAAAGCTGAAATAGATTCCATAGATTTACATTTGGGTTGATTTTTTTCTAGCATTTTCCACTTTGTTTCCACACTCAGCTCTGGTTTTTTGGTAGTATTTTAGGACAAAGGAGGAGTGGAAAAAACTGCCAGAGATGACCACGAACCCCCAGCAATCAGCAGAGGTGGACATTAGCAGCTGCAACATCTGGACAAAACTTCTCACTGCTTTTCTGCAACTGGTAAGATTTCAAGCTGCCGAAATCATCTCAAAGGAAGGACAGCGGGTTCTCTGCAAGCTCTTGAGACATAAACCCTTCCTGCAGCATGCAAAATGCTTCTTCCCACAGCAAGGGGCATCCCAACCCTTTCTCCTCCTCCTCACACGTGTCCAGCAGACATAGACCTGCACTCTTACCAGTGGCTCCAGTGAACACGTCGCCCTGGGAGGGGCTCTCCGAGATAATGGCCGTGGCCTCCACCGTCGAGGCGCGGTCGAAGCTCAGAGCCCCTGAGGTAGTGATCTGCCCAGAAGGAGTCACGGTGACTGGAAATATCAGAAGGACTTTCTGAATGAACACTCAGCGTGGGGGCCCTGGCTGCTCAGCTGCTGACACCCCCTGCTCTGACCCACCCACACCCCACTGCCAGGGCAGGGACCGGCCCTGCGTCACACACCCCACCGGTGCCGCTGGGGAGGGGAGGGCAGGATCCCCCTTTGGATCTGAGGGCACCACTGGCCTCCTGCTGTTTATTCTCTGGGTGTTGGAGGCCAGAAGGTTCTCTTACAACACATGCCTCCCAAATCACCACCTTTCCAATTATTATATGAGCAAAAACACCTCCCAGAAAGGTCCAGCAGGGTGACCGAACCCATCAGCTTCTGGCTGGTCCTGGTTTATTACAACTTTAACCAGAGTGGATCTTACCACTTAAAGTGACTCAAAAAAACCCTGGATTACAGCTCATTCTATGACTGTTGGCTCAGCTGGACACTTGTAGCTGTCTATCTACACAGAGTAAGATCATATGCTTGGCCAACACAAGGAACAAGGCACAAAATCTTTTGGATGAATATACCTGAGTGGCTCTAAAATGTTTAAATGTCTTTTTAAAGAGGATTAATCCATCTGGCACCATTACTTGGCAATGGGCTGACCCTGTGGTGCACTGCTCAGCCAGAAAGAGCTTTTCACAAAAAATAACTCAAGTTTAGGACAGAGAGGCTACAGATTTGTGCCTGGTGAAATGTGAGCAGCACTCCTCTCCTCTCCCACCACCAGCACGAGCTAACGTGCAGCCTCACAGCACCTCACACTAACAAACCAATGCAGATTAAACCTCCTCAGGGGATTAACATGAAACACAACACAGCTCTACAGAATCCTTGCCTCTATCTCTTCTTCCTGCCACTGGCAATTTAATCTTACTTTTGGCTGTTCTATTTTGGATCTCTGTCACTGCCTCCTCAGTTCAGTTGGCAAGGCTGCTGTGCAGATGATGCCAGTGTGAGGAGAGCAGGAGGACACATGAACAGGACTGGGGATGGGATTGGGAACCTGGGAGCTGGAGGAGCTTGCAAATTAATTTGTGTTCTCACACAGATGGTTTGATGATCAAAAACAGTAAGTAACAAAGCGTGTCCTGAATGTTAGAGAGGAATCTGCAGATGAAAGCATCACCTTCTGCCTCCTTCATTAACGATTTTCAGGCTGTGGATTTCACTCCAGCTGCTGAGAGCTGCTTTTCTATGTATTTCAAGAGAGAGCATAAATCTTCCTCCACAGCTGCTGCTCAAGGAGAAAAGCCAAGCTCATGGGAAGGAATGGGGAGTTCTGGCAGAGCCAAGAAGGACCAGCCTTCCCCCCACAGCCTCATTTCAACAGGGGGAAGCTTCTCAGCTGTCCTCTGAGAGAAACCCACCTGAAATCCCTCAGGGATCAAGGCCAGGACTCCACATCTGCCCCTGCACTGCCAGGCTGAGAGCAGGTACAGGGGAGGGGATAGCATCAGAACAAAATATAAAACCTACTGCTCACTGCAGAAGGATGTTAAGGGGCTTAAAACCAAGTCTCCTGGAGGTCTTGACTTGCACTTGTTCCTACTCAACTTGCAGTCCCACTGTGGCAACACTGCACTAGTTTCTACAATGCAGGAATTAAACTTAACTAAAGACACTGAGCCAATAAACCTGTTCAATGAGAAAGAAGTGGCAAAAAAAAAAAAGACATTTTTTTCACTTGGCTACTTCCAAGGGGCCACTGACAGACATAAAACATCCAGTGTTGCAATTCTTCACCAGAAAAAGGGAAGTGATTTTCACAGGGAGGAAAGAACCTACATGTGGTGGCAGCAGTGGCAGGGAGCAGAGTGATGTTCTTGGGGCAATCCTTCTTCACTGGGGTTGCAGGCATCTCATTCTCTTTCTTCCGCCTTTTATAGGGTACAAAGAGTCGTACAGGGCCACTCTAGGGAAAGGAAATCAAAGCCAACCAAAAAAAAATCACAGAAAAGAAAAAGAAAAAGGGAAAAGGCATTAGCTGAGGCAGCTCTCTGGGGACTCTGGGCTTACTCTCCTCTTTGCTAACATAGCCAAGGTGGAGCACCACATATCCCCATGGCAGGTGTGTGGTCTGCAATAAATAACCAAAAAACTTCTACTTGAGCAGAGCAAAAGAACTTTGTGGGAGGGGAAAAAGTTTGGCTCAGCTTCCTCCAGCTGAAGAAGCTCAGATTCAGTCTCTTCCCACTATTATTTAAGCTGTAGAACTGGGCAAATAATTGACTGCTGGCCAAGGTGGTGGAAAGGAGGAGAAGAGGAGTGAGGGGGAGACAGGAAGCTGTTTGTTTCAGGTCTGGGAAACAAGCAAATCATCCCGTGCCCAGCAGAAGAGAAATGCAGACTACTACTTCAAGTCAAGCTAAAGACTTAAGCTTTGAGGACTTCGACCTCATTTTTGAACCAAACGACCAAAAAACTGTGAAATTTGAGTCAAAAAAATCACAAATAGCTTGGACACCTCCAAAAAGCATTTTACATAACTCTATTATTTAGAAAGGAAAAATAAAAGAAGGAATAAAGCATTAACTAACAGTGTTTCAGAGGCTGCCACACCACAGTGCTGCAGTGCCTCACCTCCTGTCTTTAGGAAGCATGGACAAAGCAACCAGAGCACTCGTGAGCATTTCCAGGATGCTCACCACCTGCTCCTAGGTGGCTGTGGCAGCTCAACCAATTAATTGGTTCTAAACTAATGGCTGTCAACCCCCCAGCTCACCAGAGTCATGTCGTCGCAGCAGGCGGCACAAGTGCAAGAGGCAGCGTGAGGATTCAAAATCCCATCCTGAAATGAGAAGATGACAGGTTCAGCACTGGAGTCACCAGCAGCATGGCTGGGTTCTGCTAGAAGATCTGGAGAGCTCCCAGGGAGATGTCCCCATTCCCTCCTCCAGACTCTGCACAACAACAGAGGGCCAACACCCTACATCACGGTGATGGGAAGAGAGTGAAGGAATGAGCAGCAACTGTCCCATCAAAAGGCAAAGAATTATGAATTTAAGACTTCATAAAGTTTCTACCCAAGCAGAAATCAACTGTCTGGCAATGCCAAGTTCTCCACGAGGCCCTTGGGCACTGCAGGAAACAAAGGACCCAATGCAATACTCAGGAATGGTGCAAACATCATCAAGTGAAGATGGTGGTGAGGTGGAGATGGTGGTGAGGTGGAGATGGTGGTGAGGTGGAGATGGTGGTGAGGTGAAGAACACGTTGTCAGGCCAATGGCATTAAGCAGATCAGGCTATTGAGTTATGGTGTCACAGGCTCACTTCTCAGTTTCTGTGAGAGAGGCTTGAGGCTGGACTGCCTTCTGAGTTAGCCAGCACCACTTGGGCAAGTACAAGCAGGATTTGTATCATGCTGTTTGAAAACACACCTAGAAAAACTCCCCTCCCACCACCGACTCTCGAGGGAATGGAAGCACTGCTGCCAAGCTGCCCCACGGCCCCCACCCCAGGCAGCTCAGCAGAGGCAGCACCCAGCTGGGCAGCCTCTGCCAGGCCCTGCTGCCCCTCCCAGCAGCGGGGAGGGAGCAGGGCTGAGCTCACATGGATGAGGCACTGCAGCGGGCGCCCGGCGTAGCGGATGCTCCTCTTCCAGTCCTTGCTGCTGGCGCGTCCCGCCATCGCCTCGAACTCCGTGGGGCTGTACCAGTTCTCCCCCTGCTTGATGCACCTGCCACGGCCCCCTGCCACGAGACAGAGGCTTGTTAGTAGAGGTTAAGAAGCGTTTTGCTTCTCCCCTAAAGTGGATGCTGCAGGTGCTGGGCAAGAGGCAGTTATCTGTGCCCCTCGCCACCCGCTGGCTCCCCCCACCCCGGGATAACTGTGCCCATCTACCAGCCTGCCTGGGACAATCTGCATGGTCAGGGAGCTCCAACTTTGGGCCTCACCAATGCATCAAAAGGCTAGAAAAAATGACTCGTCCACAAGAAGGATCAGTCTTGGATAAACAATAGGAATTCAAGCCCTTCCTGAATCATAGAATCATAGAATCATAGGGGTTGGAAGGGACCTCGAAAGATCATCCAGTCCAACCCCCCTGCCAGAGCAGGGTCACCCAGAGTACATCACACAGGGAGCCATCCAGGAGGGTTTGGAATGTCTCCAGTGCAGGAGACTCCACAACCTCTCTGGGCAGCCTGTTCCAGTGCTCTGGCACCCTCAGAGTAAAAAAATGTTTCCTGATATTCACCTTGAACCTCCTGTGCTCCAATTTGCACCCATGACCCCTTGTCCTATCATAGGTCATCACTGAAAAAAGCTTAATTCCATCTTCCTGACACTCACCCCTTACATATTTGTAAACATTGATGAGGTCACCCCTCAGTCTCCTTTTCTCCAGGCTAAAGAGACCCAGCTCCCTCAGCCTTTCCTCATAAGGGAGATGCTCCACTCCCCTAATCATCTTTGTAGCCCTACGCTGGACTCTCTCCAGCAGCTCCCTGTCCTTCCTGAACTGAGGGGCCCAGAACTGGACACAATATTCCAGATGTGGCCTCACCAATGCAGAATAGAGGGGGAGGAGAACCTCTCTTGACTGACTAATGGGCACTTAAATTTTTAATACTTCTGGTGGTGAAGAAAACTGGCTGTCCACGAGGCAAGGTCTGTGCTGTGCAGCCAGACAAGTCCTGCTGTGGCTTCTTCAGCTTCCCCACAGAGACAGGAGAGAGGAGGATGGGGTAAAGCAGCTAAGGAGGCCCACTGGGAGACAAGCTCCCTTATCTTCCACCCCAGTGGGGACTCTGCAAAGTTTTGTAGAAGCATGAGACTACTTCTGAGACAAAAAGAATGTTAGAGGAGTCAAACGAGGAGACTCCCTCTGTATCTTCACAGATCTCAGAAAAAAAGTTACAAGGCTTCTGAAGAAAGAGCAAAACAGAAGGCAGCAATAACACTGAAAGGGCAAAAAAAATCATTGAAAAGGAAAGGCTGGCTGGGAAAGAGCCTTTTTTTTGTCACAACTGGCCCTTCAGGGTAGCCTGATTAAAACCAGAGTGCACCCAGCAGAGCAGGAGCTGCCACACTTCCTCAGCCACGGGGGTTGTTACCTGAGCCCAGCCTGTTCTTGTACAGAATCCCACTGATATTCCGGCACCTCACCGGCAGCTCGTTCTCATAGACAGACGGGTCCCAGTTGTACTTGGTTCCAGTTTTTTCCTGGACGGATGTTAAAGGAGTAGGAGGAGATTGTGGTCCTTTGAAAGGAAAAAAAAACAAACAAAAAGGAAAGGTGACAGCAACCAAAAAGCCCCCTGGTGACACCGACACCTCTCCGCGGCAATACGAGCTGCGCGGTGCACCACAAGAAACCCGCCCCGAACCTTTGGGAAGTGAAAATAAAGCAGACTGCAGCTGAAGGAGCAGGTCCGGCAGCCCGGGGAAGGCGCGGGGTGTACCCCGCAGCGCTGGAGGGTGCTGCGGCCCGCCGGAGGTTTGCCACCGTGTGGGCAGACAGGGCCAA